CTGCGGGGAACTCTGCAAAAAACGCATCTTCGCACGGGCAGCCCGTGCGTTGGCCAATTTTTTCCAGTGATTTCAAATAATAGGGAAAAACTATGCACAAAACAATGCACAACAAAACTTCCTTTGTGATTCCGTCCTGTTTCCCAATCAAACCAGCTTTTTAAAATTCCTCTTCCAGCAACCCTCGTTCAAAAAGGCTAAAAATCTCCCAAAAATTTGGCTCATTCTGACCATCAGCACACTACACTACTCAGATTGCTTTCCGAATAAAAGACACTAAAAGACACAGACAGGAAAAAAAAAACTTCTTTTAAAACCTCTTTTGACAAATTTTTCCCGAACTGGTGCTATCTAAATCAAAAAAGTGCTAATTTGTTGGGGAAAATTTTTTAACTTAAAGACGCATGAGCAGTTTTTTGCATGAGAAGTTTCCCTAAGCTACTAAACTTGCATTTTGCAAAATTTGGAGAATGGATAGTTTCTCCCTGAAATCCAAATCCGCCTATTAAGCCGTTCAAATTACATCAAATAGTTCTTTGAAGATGATCAGTACCACTGTTGATCTACAAAGAGAATGAATGTTTTAATAAAACAGACGGAATAGAGCATCGAGCACAATAGCAAGGCCTGCGGAATAAGTTTACAAGAAATTTACAAAGAAGTTTAACTCGCAAAAAAAGTTTTACAAAATAAATTATCAGAATTTTAAAATATTTCCCGAAACAAACGCTTCCTATCTAACCTTTCCATCATTTTTGACTTCAACCGCTACTATCGAAAAATCATGATAAAAATTTTGCTCGGATCCCTATTTTTCATGTAAAAAATAATTACCAAGAAAACCCATGTGTTCAACAAGACCTTCAAATGTGATAGAAATGCACCCCTCCCCCAACCTTGCCATATTTTAAGATTCAGAAAAGCGAAAAAGGATAAAGTCACAGAACCAGTGGAGCGAAAAAAAACCTTACAGAACCATGTAAACAGATATGAGTGCACATAAAGTCTGTACAGCTGTTGAGGTCAAGCACTAGGTTACTACACATCGAAGCACTGACATCTTCAGGTACTGAATTTTTAAAAGTCAATTTTTACAATTTATCTGTACACAAAATACATGCAGTGAAAAAAAAATCTTCCTAAGTGTTGCAGAAATTTTAAAGATACAAACAACGTATATTCTTAGCGAGGAGACTGGAAGAGAACGGGTCTGAAATCTTCTATATTTTAATATATGCAGTTTGTTTGGTGTTACTGACCCACTGTGGAGAGGAACACAGTCGAATTTCGACAATTAATGAAAAACCGAAAGTGGCATTTAAATCTCCCAAATAAGCAAGCCTGTATGTACAGTGGCTTCGTAGCCTATCTGTGTTTCATCTCTGAACTGTAAACACAAACGACAGAAACGGTGCGGAATGGGGTGGGAATCATCAGTATAGTGCCCCATTCCGCCATGTTAAAAGGAACATGTGGATTATCGAAGGAGGACTGCGCCACTATTTCAGACTTTTCCACTGTTATATAAAGCAGTGAAACAACTCTTTGCCAAAATGACCAATGTCCTCTTGCCCAAAAATTAAAGCAAAATAAACGGAAATAAGCCATTACTCCAGCATCAACATTACTCTGTAGGGAAGATTTGTTTTCACCAAATCAAATGCAGTTCGCAGGAATACACGACCAAGAAAAGCAGAAATCAAATTTCATATGTACATTTGTGGTCAGTCCGAACACGATGACTTCTTTTTGAACACAGACTTGCCGAGGCCGGAAGCCTCGGCTTCAAGTCTTTCATACAACGCCGTAAATGATTTCAGTTCATCACCACTGAGTGCGCTAACAAGATTGTTGTCGTTGAGGCCAACGCCAAGAAGCGTAAGCTGTCGATCTAGGTCGCGCTCATCAGCTGACTGATATTCCGCCAAACAACCGTCTTCAACCTTTTTTAAATAGGCATTTTCATCCGCCTTCTCATCATCCGAATCCAGTTCTTCTAAATTTGATGTACCTTCAAAAAAGTATGTTAAAGGGTAAAGAGGAACTGATGAAGCAGAAAAATGAGGAAGGGAAGAAAAACGATGAAAGAGAGATGTGGAAAGGGGACTTGGGAATACTGAAATAATCGTAATGGGCAAGAAATGCTTCGGTCCATTAAGTCGTATACATTTCTTACCGTTACCACAATTGACTGTCAAAAAGGTCACAAGTGTCTCACGCACAAGAATCACAAGAAATGAATGAGTCGCCATCGCAGAGAAGTTGATTAAATTACGATTCAAACAATTTTCCTGCTGTATTTAAAGAGTGACCCCTCTTCTTAAAAAAAGTGATCCTTTCAGTCGCTATGTGTACAGAACGAAACAACGAAAAAATAACTAAAGTCGGGTTAGGTTTTGTCCTGGTACCTCACATTACAGGACCACGAAATCCCTGCGTCTTAATAAGAGGTAAGCAACGAGAATTTTCAGTATCATCACTTTTTTGAATAAAATTAATGAAAAATGCAATTTAATTTTGCAGAAATTATTTTCGTCTACGCTCTTCCTCTCCAAAACATACAGAATTTCTAACAAACAAAAAAACTGAAAAAAAACTACAAAGAAACTAAATTATCCTTTAACTTATAATGAGAAATCCCACAAAGGATGTTTCAAAGCAATGTTTTAAAGAACTTTACAACGATTAGCACCAATGTGCTCGAAAAAAATCAGAAAAGTCGAAATCAAAATGCTCTCCACATTCACTCTCTGTAAGAAGCGAAGGCATTCAGAAAGTAGCCCGAATGGTAGCGAATGCCAACAGCGACCACACGTTGGCAAAGTTGTCAACAACTCCCTTTTTCAAGATTGGTCACAAACAAGTCAATAGCAGTTTGGCTTCTTGGCATATGCTAGTACCAATTTACCATCGAAACGAATGAACAAATCGTAGAGGGACTGGGTGTCTCGTCAGCTGAGTTAAACTCTCGACGTACTGTACGAAAAAAAATGCTGCTTTAACTATGCATGCCAATGGCCATAAAAATCCTGAAAAAACAAAAATATATAAAAACGGGCCTGGTTTACTTGAATCCATCTGAGCTCCTCCACTTCCGTACTGCTCGCTCATGAATTCTTCGAACGTCTTCGTTGAGTTATTGGCTTCGTTGCAACCACGTGCACGCAACTCCTTCTCCACGCATTCGCGGTAGAATGATTCGCTGCAAGCGCGATGCATTTCACTGCGATAACATTTCACCGAGCAATATGCGAGACAACATCGTGGACAGATATTGAGACTGGACAGTGAGCCGCAGGCCAAACAGCTAATTCGTTCTTCTTCCATTGCAAAGCTTAAACCATTCGATTATCAATAAATTCGGTACAGAATCTGAAATTCTGTCCTACAAAACCAAAAAAATCACGTAATTAAACAATAAATGCGAAAGAACGAAAAAGAACTGCGACCTAATAGGGAGGAAAGGATTGAGAAATTATGAAAAAAAAAATTTCTCAAAAAACTGAAAAAAATATGTTTCCCTCTACTACGTATAATTATGTTTAAAGCAGTAAAACTGCGAAATATGAAACTGAAAAAAAAATTTTTATTTTTTTTGAAAGTTGGTAAGAAATGTTTCGGTCCATTATAAATTTGTTTAATGCAGTGAAGCTGCTATGCACCAGAAGTATCCATCACCGAGATTATCGGTTTCGCAGGTTTTTTTCGCATTTGTCACAGTTTTATATAACTTTTATTTGAACAGAAAATCAAAAGCGAGTACTCGTGCAAAACATAACAAATGAGGCAACAAACAAACCAGCCGTACTTGCAAGCAATCCAAAAAACTCAAATGCTTTCCTCCCCTTCCCTTCTCCCTTCTCCTCCTCCCTTCTCCCTCCCCCTTCCCTTGTACTTCCCCTCCCTCCTCGCCCCAGCCCCTCACCCCCGCTCCTGGGCGCATCAGTTGGAAACTTTCCGTCTCAACGATCAGAATCAGAGATACGCAAACCACTAACAAAAACATTAAAATTTCTCTAATTATCTAGAAAATGCTAATAAAATTACTGATGTCAAACGCAAAAGCAGTGCCAACCGGTGAAACATCATAAGCTCCTTGTAAAATACATATCTGTGGCAAAAATAAAACAAAAAAATTCAACAACCATGAAGATTAGAAAAACTTATTTTTTTTTTACAAATACACAATTTCTGCGCATGAAAATAACGATTTACAATGAGAAATCATGAATTATTAACAATATCATCAAAAAATCCATTTATTTTCTTCATTTTTTCACGGGAAATCTCATTTGCACGCAGAATCGGGACCTAAAAATAGTTATTGAATAGTAACAATTATTCATCATATCTGCCTTTTCTTTTGATTTTATAATGGACTTAAATATACACTGCGTATAAGAAATGCCATTTTCAACAAACATAGGGTCGTATCATTCCACGACGAGAAAAATCCCATTACATCGAATAAATTTCGGCCTTTTCAAGGCCGGACCGTAAGAACACCACAAGAATCGTAAGAATATCATAAGAATCGTAAGAACATCCAAAGAAAACAAATACACGTTCAGTCCACGTTGGCACACTATGTTGACCAGCAAAGACTCAAAAAGCTATATAAACCTGAGTGTTCGGTTTATCACAAATCAAAGATCAAGCTAATCAGAGCTTTCTGAGAAGCCAAAAGTCTCAGACAACTCACCTGCTTCAGTATTTTTTCCAGCGACCAGAGTTTTACATTTGAATCTTCCCATCCCACAGTGATAAGGCATTTTGCATCTGAGGTAATGGCTAGCTGTTGGACGCCACCGGTATGAACACCAATCGTACCAATATTTTTATTTGGACTGACATTGGTTATCCTGAAAACTTTGCACAAATCTGTAAAATCAGTTAGGGGAAAAAGAATTCAGGGCAAAAAAAGAATAAATTAAAAAAAAAAAATGTTTTAAAGAAGTTGAAACAACAGGATGGGAGGAAGAGCATGCGTAGAGGGAATTAAAAGTATCCTCAGATTCAAAAATACTGTGAAAACACTGTACTGCTGAAATTCTGACTAATTTCCAGCTTAATTTGCGCTGAAGGTTGAGCATCGGGTCAGGGTATAATCTGAGACTTGTCTTTTAGCCTATTAGAAAGTTTATTTCCGGAATTTTAAGCCCCTCTTCTTCGTTCTTGCGTTATAAAAATTTGCCTATATTCAAATCATCGGTGAAAAACAAGAGACAAGGTGATACAGGAGATTCCCAGATACAACGACTGATTTTTTCAAAGGCTGTTTTTTTCAAAATCCCAAGTTAGCAACCTTTCTGTTTTTCTAACACAAAATTTGGCTGGACTTAGACTACAGTCAAGTCAGAACACAGAGCAACCAAGCATCATGATAATTTCAATGAATTAGGTTTTAGACTGTCGATTTTGTACAGGGTCAAAAATATCCTTCTACAAATTTCAGATTCCTCACATTTTTAGTGGAGTATTCAGAAAACTTGTCTAAGTTTAAACTACAGATCAAAAGTCAGAACAGTACGGAACTGGGACTAATATAAGGACGAAGAGTTCAGTCGTACCGTTTTAACTTCCAAATTTCGCAATTTTAGAGTTCCACATGCAAGTAAACACGTACACCATAGGTTCCTGAACTAATATATAGGGCAAAAACAAACTAATACAAGAACGCAAGAGCACAAAAAGTACAAAAAGCACTAGCGAACCTGAGCTGACTGTCTTCATTTGAGGCGGTCAGTAGAAGTCCCGGTCTCAGCTGTTGCACACAATCGACACCCATCGGATGGTCCGTTTTGATGCGCTCCAGCAAATTGCCATATTCCTTGTTTTTGAACACTTCCAAATGTCCGTCACCACTTCCAACGTAACAATATCTAAACAAAAAATCAGCAGTACACCAATGCACCTTTTAAATTAAAATTGTACCAAAAATTTGTTGGATTACGGGCGGCCAAATTCAATTTTTGCGTCCAGGCATACGCGATCCTCATCAAAATTTTTGGCAGGAAAATTGCTAACTCGGAAACCAGTAAAGCTGGAAAGCTGAAATTTTAACGGAATGTTCACTGTTTAAGTGTCACGTAATTGCACAATTAACTGCCAAAAATTTGTCGGATTACGAAATATACCAAAAGTAAAAAGTCGAAGGTCACTTTCCCTCATTTCAATATTGTGAAGTAGAAATACGTGTTTTTAGTTAACCCTCCCCCCCCCCCCCCCCCCCCCCCCCCCCCCCC